TTTGTATTTCAATATTTATTTATTTAATTTTTTTGTCATAATAAATTATAACAGATATATATTTTTAAATTCTCTCTCTCATATTTATCAAAATAATTTTAACACGTATCGAAGATTTCTTTTTGTGAAAGTAAACTTTTATTCGGTAAATGTTGCAATTATTATTGTTTATATTAGAGACTATATGTAATATTTTCATGTTATTGACGACGACGACGATTGACACCAGGTAAAGGTAACCACTCGTTGTTTAGCGGGACGTAAGATTGACCAATATAAGCTAGATCATTATTATTACCATATTGATTGAGAGATCCTGTATTACCATATTGTCCAGTTCCATAAGCATTAAATGCGTTAGGATAACCATAGCCTGTTTGATATGGATATTGTTGCATATTGTAGTTAGGTGCTAAGAAAAAAATATTGTTTGTAGAGTTACAGAAATATTATGTTAAATAATTATTCGTTACTCACGATAATTATATGGATATGGTGAAATACCTGGTACATACCAATTGTTTCCAACTGGTTGCAAATTGGATCCTATACAGAACATAAATAACAGGCGATATTTCGTTAAAATATTCGTACCTGGACCAAATAATTCCAGATTATAGCGCACATTTGATACAGCACCTAGACCATAATAAGCACTTGATCGTAAATCCACTTGTCGTTTACGACGTATTCGACTCTCGACCACTAAAATACATGTATATATAATTTTCTAGCAATGTAAAAATAATTTTCTTGTCATCACTTACTAACAATTGAGATCGTCAGTAGAAATACCAGTAGCTTGGATAAAGACATTATATACATATATTTGTATGTGATTAAGACGATTGCAATATATTGTATAAACAGTATGCTTGATTCATTCGATGTGTTCTCTCTAGTAGTATTATGTAAAAATTAATGTAATTTTTTTTTCTTCCTGTCTCTCATTTTATATATGTATATGTTACATTAAATATCAACCACAAAAGAGAAGGAGAGACCTATGGTAGCCTTGAATTTGAAGTCGTACAGAACGAAATCTGTCATTAAATTACCTTTTTCATAATCGTATCAGAGTGTGTATGTAGTGGAAGCATACATAATAATATTCTCAAGGTGAATATTTTACGATATTGCCTTCCATAGTACAATACCTACAATCGTTATCATAATTTCAATATAAATACTTAATTTGATGTCGTCAAAATTTGCTTATTGTAAAATTGATTTTAAGACAAGTAGTATCTGAATATTAAGCTTCAGAGTTTAGAAATTTCATCAGTCAGTTATAACTCCGTAGTCACTTTTATGTATTAGGCAAAATAAAAAATTCTGGAAGCAACATATATATTCAGTAATTCCAATAAAAATATACATAAACTCAATTCAATCTCACGGAAATACACTTATGCATACTAATCAAATTTTATAGTCTGTTTTTATATGAAAGCCCTATGAATTTTGACATTTTCGACTTCTTGCAACTATTAATAGCAAAATTGATAAACATGTTATTTTTTTTTGGGACGGAACAAACACATCATCTTTGTCAAATAAATAAATCATCAATTTTCTTGTTTTTGATGTCTCTTGTCAACGATTTTGATTATAGCATTACCTAATTGTTCATATTGTTCAATATAATTATAGATATGTGCTGATATTCGAACATATAAATTTCCATCAATATATTTAATTGGTACTTCAATATTAAAATCATGATAAAGTTTATTTTATATTATTTCAGTATCATCATAATTATCATTAGACAGTAGCAATACAACGCATTGGACCAGAAATATCATCTGAAGTTAATTTTGATGTATTCCACATTTCTACTAATAAATCTCTTAAATCTTTAGCTAGATGTGTAAAAAGTTCTATACACTTGGTAGTAGTGAGTTTCAAAAGCTTACACAATATCCGATGTTCTTCTGATCCGGTATAGACACACACGCACATTCATTTTGTAATTGTAAGGGTAGTGTAATGTCATATTTATTGAACAAATAAATTAATAACATTATCAGTAACTAATGCAATTTATAAGTCTACTGTAGCATAAAATGATATTTTAAGGATGTTATTTATTTCAAGTCTTCGATAAACATGAACATGAATATAAACATTTTCAGTTCTTTGTCATAAAATTAACATGTTTATATAAAGAATAAATACAGATTTAAAACATTAGACTTTTATTCATTGAATATAATTAAGTTTATTAGATACATCATTTGGATTTGAAAAAGAGAAAATGTTATTACAGCTAGGTTAATATTGATTATAATGTTTCATAAATTGTATCTTTCAGAACTAATAACTCGACTAACATTTCCATTATTGCCACCTGTAGTTAATACAAAATTATTTAGTAAAACAGTTTGATGATAATTTCTTCCATAATTCAGTATAGTAGTATTTGACCAAGTTCTTGTTAGAGGATCATATAATTCACATACAAGTGGATATGTACTGGATGTCCAATCAGCACCACCAGTTGCTAATACTTTGCCTGATGGTAGAAGTGTAAGTGTAAATGCTCCTCGACGATACTGCATTGATCCAACAGCTGTAAACTTTCGTGATGTTGCATTATAAATCTCAGCAGTTGAATATGCAGTTGCTCCACCGGTACCTCCACCGACAATTAATACAGTTCCATCATTTAATAATACAGCAGCATGA